ACATTTATTATAAAATTTGAAACAATAGCGATACACAAGTAATATATATTTTTAGATTGTCTTTGTTCTTCGAAAGTTCCGGTAATATATATTCTGTATCTATATTCGAAAGCTTGTAGTGGACTGTCCCTTGTTCAATGCGTGGCGAGCAACCTGCACCCCTCGTCCCATCGTCTGGAATTCGGAATAGGTCCGGTTTTGGCACTAACGTAGAGTCTCGGCCTTGAAGCACTTTAGGGGTTCGAAAGAAAATAAACTAATTCGGCAAGACACAAATTTTGGTCACGTAACGTTTCAATTCATTGGTAGAAGTCCTCGCTGTGACAGCACGAATAACTTGATCATCACCAGAATGTAGTTGGGAAACCTAATTTCCATTTTAGTGGTGGGATTCCATCTTCTTTAATAAGGACCATGGCGTCAATGTTAATTAATTGTGGAAAATTGGTCTTCCACTTGATACGAGCTTGTAAGGAGGATACGTATTCCTTGGACCACCTAGTTTTTTTACCAATACCAATACAAATTTTACCAATGAACCTTAACGACATAAAGATTCAAAAGTATTACTTAAATTGTCAGCACATGCGTTCTAATAAAACAGAACCTCACATTTAAACTTTATAACAATCAAAAATTTAGTTATTGCCTACAATTCAAAGAACTACTTCCTTTTAAATGCAGTTACATTGGGTTTTTCGATTAACCTTGGGTAAACCTTTGCATTTTAAGTTTAAAGCTACCATACATTTCCAACGTTAAACAAAACTTTTTTTGCACATAGTAACAAAAAACACCACTATGTTGTTACTAGCTAAGTTTTTTAACATCCTAACTCGACAATTCTAAGTTACGGTAAGATCAATAATGTTTTTTAATAGATAATATATGGTAGCTAATTATAATTTATTCTCTTTCAGCCCTGAAGAAGCCAAATTAATTCTCTTTGGCGAAAATGTTCGGCGAAAAAATTGATACTCATTAGAGTGTATCTTGCAGATTTCCCCAATATTAAGATTTTATTATTTAACTTATCTGCAAAGATTAAATTTCTTTACTATATATATATATATATATATATATATATATATTATATATATATATATATATTATATTATATATATGTATATATATATATATATATATATAATCATTTTTGAAACTTGATTAATATATAAACAACAATTTTTTGGTCACAAATGACCAATTATCAGTTATTTTCTGACCTAACATAATATCTGCACATACTTAAATCTAACTTAAATCTAACTTAAATCTAACTTAAATCTAACTTAAATCAACTAACATGCAATAACTTTACAGCACTATACTCGGCTTTTTACACTAAACTGTTACACATTTACACTAGCTCAAATGCTTTTGTCCTTATGAGTCTTCTCTTTAGTTCAGTGTTGTCAAGAAGCTGGATTGCCATTCACATGACTATGCAGCCTCTGCTCGTGACTTGCTGCTGTTCTCTTGATTATTTCGATCATTTCGTATCGATCGATTGAGTCATATATAAAATTTAGGGAGTATAGAGTATATTCTACTGTACACCCAGATAATGCAGCTAAAGGAGGAAGCGCTATTATAATTAGAGATAACATATTGCATCATGAGGAATTAAAACATACAACTGAGCACATACAAACTACAACAGTCTGTGTGAAGATGAAAACACATTCCTTAAATATAAGTTCAATATATTGTCCTTCTAGACACTCCATTAAAACAGAGCAATATAAAGAGTTTATAAACACTTTAGAAAAAGATACATCATCGGTGGCGACTTTAATGCAAAAAATACTCACTGGAGCTCTAGGCTAACTACAACTAAAGGAAAAGAACTATTGTCAGCTGTTAAGGAACAAAAGGGTGAAGTAATCTCTACTGGTAGACCAACATACTGGCCTACCGATAGGAACAAAATTACAGACCTGATAGATTTCTTTATTTACAAAAATATTTCAGCTAACTATCTCGATATCAATGACGGCTGGGATATGAACTCTGATCACTCACCGATAATTTTAACTATAAGTGATACAGTTATTATAAAAGAGTTCAATCCAATAATGACTAATAAAAAAAACTGACTGGGAGAGCTTCAAAATAAACCTTGAACACAAAATTAATCTTGCTGTGCCATTGAGAAACACGAGGCAACTTGATGACGAATTACAAGTTTTTATAAAAAATATCCAACAGTCAGCTTGGGAAAATACTCCCACAATAACTTCTAGAACAAAAGGGAACAACTATCCAAAAGAAATCAGAGAACTCATAGTAGAAAAAAGAAAGTTAAGAAAAAAAAATGGCAACAATACAGAGCTCCACGAGACAAAACTAGTCTAAATAATGCTACACAAAAACTAAAAAGGGAGATACAGAATATAAAAAATTCAACAATTAATTATTTCTTAAGTAATTTAACAGCTGACCAGAACACAGATTATTCTTTATGGAAGGCAACAAAAAGAATGAACAGACCAATTATTCATTCCCCTCCTATCAAGTTGGAAAACGGCAACTGGGCTAGAAATAACGAACAGAAAGCAGAACGATTTGCAGATCATTTAGAAAGCACGTTCAAACCCAACGAAAATGATGGTGAAGAACTGAGATGGGAAGAACCATTCCAAACTGACGAAAGAATAACGTTGACATCACCTAGAGAAGTATCAACAGAGATAAAAGAGAAAATAAATCTCAAGAAAGCTGCAGGATATAATCTCATAACAGGAGAATTATTAAAAAATCTACCAAGAAAAGCCATAGTTAAGCTGACACACCTAATAAATACTGCTTTTAGATTGAGATATGTTCCCAGACTCTGGAAAGTAGCCGAAGTAATTATGATCGCCAAACCAGGTAAATCTCCTAATAAAGTAACATCCTACCGACCTATATCACTCCTTCCGGTGATGTCAAAACTATTTGAAAAACTTCTATCGAAAAGATTAAAACCAATAATAGAAAGAAAAAATCGTAATCGAGATCAAAGCTGGCGTGCAACAAGGAAGTGTCTTAGGTCCGGTCCTGTACCTATTGTATACGTGTGACATTCCAGAGCTAGAACAAAATACTATTGCCACCTTCGCGGATGATACAGCCATACTAGCGATAGGAGACACGACACTAGTGAATAAGCGACTGATAAGTTGCAACTATCAGTAAATAAAATACATAACTGAACCAGAAAATGGCGAATAAAATTAAACGAGACTAAATCTGCACACATTAACTTTACCAATAAAAAAATAGATAATTTCCCAGTTAGCATACATGATACCCGAATTCCTTATGCAACATCAGCAAAATACTTGGGCATCACCCTAGACGCGAAGCTGCGCTGGAAAGTCCATGTCAAGAAGAAAAGAGGGGAGCTTGATATTGGATATAAGAAATTGTATTGGCTGATTGGAAAAAATTCAACATTATCAATTCATAATAAATTATCCATCTACAAGCAAGTACTGAGGCCAGTATGGGCATATGGGTGCCAACTCTGGGCTGTACCAAAGCTAGTAATATACATATTATCCAGAGATTTCAAAACAAAGTACTGAGAAACATTGTTGATGCTCCTTGATATATTCGTAACAGCAACCTTCACCTTGACCTGGGTATGGAAACTGTGATCGAAATAATCAAAAAAACAGCAGCAAGTCACGAGCAGAGGCTGCATAGTCATGTGAATGTCGAGGCAATCCAGCTTCTTGACAACACTGAACTAAAGACTCATAAGGACAAAACCATTTGAGCTAGTGTAAATGTGTAACAGTTTAGTGTAAAAAGCAGAGTATAGTGCTGTAAAGTTATTGCATGTTAGTTGTAGTGCCTTAGTTAATGGATAAAATAAGAGTTAGCCATAGGGTAAGCCCTTAGATTTAAGTATGTGCAGTTATTATGTTAGGTCAGAAAATAAGTGATAATTGG